CCTATGTGCATGGCCTCCTGCTAATTGATCACTTCTCAACATAGGCCAAGTCCTGCCCTACTTCATATATACTCCTAGGCAATTCCAGACATAGTTCAAGGAATCTCATGTAAAGGCCTAAGAAAAACAATCCTTTCTTCAATATATTACATCATAGTAATGTCTTGTAATGCTGAACGGTAAAGTTGGACAGAAGCACAGCTGGATGGCCATCTTACTGGGACAAATGAGTGAGGACTATTGAATATATGTAGTGTATATCTCACATCTAGTAGTGTACCTGTACCACCAAGGCAGGAAAAAGGTGTCTTGGGCTGTTCCATTGTAAGAGGCAATCACCATAGCTTAACAACAAAACAGGATAGAATAAATCAGACAATCATGATGGCAATGGGTTTTGGCAGTCTTAGAAGAATGTGTCAGAGGAGGAAAGTACCAAGGGGGATTCCTAGGAGCACATCCGTTCCCTGAATTGTCTCTACAAGCAGAATAGTCACTTTAAGGAGAGCTCTGCTCAGGCTAGATGTTTGAAAGTCTCCTGCTCTCACAAACCAATATTTTTACTCTGAAATATTCTGTGCTATCCAAAATACAGGGGACCAGCAGAAACTGGATTCTCTGAAGAAGAATGTAAGGGACATTGTGACTATGACTGGAGGCTCTTTCTACCATGCACCGTGTGGGAACACAGCAGAGCCATGCTGAATAAAGCAGTGATACTTGTCACAGCCTCTGGGTTCAGATTCCTTTCACTACATGGAAGACTCACTCAGTAAATAAGGGGCAGAAAACACAGGATGGTTTTTCTCAAATCTCTCATTTGTTTTTCAACCTGCATTGCCATTTATCTCACAAGCTCCTTAGAGGACTGAAGGATGTCCTAGAATTGGTATACATTTGATGTAGCCACCACAGTATATTAAATCTATTTTATAATTTTAATCAAGCCCTAGCTTATCTTCCTAGGAGTCTTTACTCTCTCTCTGTGTACAGAAAAAGCCTATTGCAGGGCCATCCAAGAATGGGCCTAGGAAACAGTGGTTTTACCAGTGTCCAGATCCATAGCATACTTATAGCTGCCTCTTTATAAGAGTGACATGGCAGTGACTGTTACTTTTGATCATTCACTTCTAGATGAATATGCCAGACAAGGAAGCTGGTCCACTCTGTCAGATGCAGTGCCATTATCTTATCACAGTGGTCC